GCTTCCATCTTGGCCCTGCTGCTTGCTCACCTTGTAACCCTGGGCAAGTCAGCTATCCAAGGCTGAGCCATGTTTCGCTCATCCGTAACATTGGCGTAATAACCTTCGTTTGCAAGGGGTTCACGGTAATATATAGAAGGTACCTAGTCCATAGTAAGTACTCTGATGGTAGCTATTCTTATGATGTATCTGTTTGACATAATGTAATACATAATATGAACAGCAAAGTTTATGCTAGAGAAAGGAACAGCAGGGAAGAATCAGAATGTGGGAGAGAGAATAAAGGAGACTGGAACATAGGTAGAGTGACCAAGAGGTGAGAAAAAGAGAACAGAATGGAGAATTAACTGGAGAAGTGACGAGGTGCCAGGGTTAGAGGATAGGCACATTTAGATGCTGAAATCTTTGGTGGAAAAACTTATTTTTAGAAAGTCTTTATTAAAAGCTAGTACTTGCAGTGAAAGTAAAAAAGAAAGCAGGAGGAGAAAGGAATAGCAGGAAAGTTTGTGTATAATCTCCAATTAGTGAGATTAGAAGGTGGGATGATTTGATAGGCTAGTAGTTAACGTAATCTGTATCCCCTTCCTAGGGAAGGTGTAGACTCATATTGAGGGTGATACGCGCTGACATGCGCAAGTAACATTTTCTCTTTTACATTCTCATGCTCTGCTTTATTTCAGAGACATCTTTAAACCCTCCCCCAATAAATTAATAAATCAACAACAAAAAAACTCAAATTGCTCTTTTAGTTATAATGTCTTAGGCTGGGTTCTCTAGAGATGCAAAATCAGTAAAGCGTATAAATATATATATAGAGAGATTTATATCAAGGAAACAGCTCACGCAATTGTAGAGGCTAGAATATCCCAAGTCCGTGGATCAGGGTAAAGGCCTTTCCCAGTTCACGCAGCTGCAGAAGCTGGCGAGTCCAAGATTGGCAGGTTGGAGAGCAGGGCTCCCGCTCACAGGCTCTGAATGTTGATAAATTCCAAGGTCAGCAGGCAAGACTGCAAGGTTTCTCTTGATTCATGTAGCTGCAGGGGCTGAAGAACCCAAGATCGGCAGGTCAGAGAGCAGGGCTCTGCTCACAGGCTGTGAAGATCGACGAATCCCAAATTTGGCAGATAAGCTGACAGCTCAAGTCCCAAGAACTGGAGGTGAGACAACAGGAGGCAGCCACAGGATCCAGAGTGAGCAAAAAGCCAGAACATCCGCTTATATTCAGATGCACGCCACACCCCCAGGGAAACTCCCTCTGACTGGCTACTCATAGCATATTCAGTCATGGGAGTGACCACATATAAACACTGAATCATGGCCCAGCCAAGCTGACACACAATCTTAACCATCACAGTTATATATTGACTATAGGTTAAATGATATTTAGATAATATCTCTCGAATATGTATTTATTAATTTCATAACATTTATTGAACATCTACTTTGTGTGAGGTTCTGGTTTATACTCAAGAGTAAGATGAGAAGGTTCTTGATATTAAGGAGCTTTTTTTTAAAAAAATAATTGTTTTTGGTGAAGGTTTACGCAGGAGTTTAGGTTCCCATTCAACAGTTTCTGCACAAGTTGTTCAGTGACATTGTTACATTCTGCACAATGCGTGAACATTCTCTCATGATTTCTGTTCTGGTTGTTCCATTTCCATTAATCCAGTTTCCTGCCCCCTTTCATTCTTATCTTTGTTTTAAAGTAATTGTTGACCGTTTGGTCTCAATTAAGAAGCTCTTAATTTAATTGTGTGAAGAAGAGGTAACACAATCACTGTTAGAAGCATATGTGTATATATCTTTATTGCCTTTGGGAACATGGATGAGGGACATCAAAATCACTTTCAGGAAGGCTTCTCAGAGGAGAGGATTGTTTCAGATGAGTGTTGAAGAAAGAGTTAGCAAGATGAAGAAGTAAAAGAATGGTCTTTTAGGCAGAGGAGACCCCATATATAAAGTCATGGAAGAGTGACCCACCAAAGGAATTCTAATCTGTGCTGCTCAGTATGGTAGCTTTTAGGCCCCCATGGCTACCTAAATTTAAATTGTTAAAATTAAATAAAATTTAAAATTTAGTTCCTTAGTCACACCAGCCACATTTCAGGTGCTCAGTAGCCATATATGGCTAGTGGCTACCATATTGGACAGTCCAGATACAGAACTTTTCTATCATTGCAGAAAGTTCTGTTGGACAGGGCTTCTGTAAGTCATTCAGTCTGGCGGGTATAGAGAGCATTTGTAGTGTAGTGAGGGAAAATACGGATAGAGAGGTAGACCGAGACTATATCTTGAAGAAATTTGGGTACTGAGCAAAGGAGTTTGAACTTCATCCTTAAAGCTGTGGTGAGCCATTTGAAGAATTTCAAGTGGAGGAGTGATATGATCCAGTGTGTGTTTTAGTTATTCTTCTAAAATCAGGTGGAAGACTAGATTGGAAAGAGTTAGAGAGTAGAGAGCTGTCTCTACTAAAGGTTAGAGAACAACCCTGAGACTATTGCAGCTCACCCCCCCTGGCCCCCCCAATCTGAACCAAGATAGCAGTTGGGAAGGAGAAGAGGAGGGGCCAGATAAGAGAAAGGTAAAGAGGGCAGAATTTGCAGGTCTTGGAGATTGATTGAATTTGGGACTTAAAGGAGAGATACCTTGATGGTGACTGACTGGATGGATGGTGGTGAAGTAAAAAAGAGTACTTTTGAGTATGAAGAAGATGAATTAATATTGTACAGGTATGGACATGTTGCATAGGCAAGTGAATATAGAGATCTAAAACTTAGTGGTGTGGTGGTTAAGTGCTCAACTGCTGACTGAAAGGTTGATGATTTGAACCTACCAGCCGCTCTGCAGGAGAAAGATGTGTTATTCTGCTCCCTTAAAGATTACAGCCTTGGAATCCCTGTGGGGCAGTTCTGCTATGTACTACAGGATCACTGTGAGTCAGAATTGACTTGATGACAGTGCGTTTTAAAGCTCATCTGAGAGAATCTAGGCTGGAGATACAAGTTTAAGAGTCATTATATAAGTGGTAGCTGAAGGTATGAGAGTGAGAGTGGCCATTAGGGTGAGCATGGAAAATGTGAGGAGTAGAGAGTCCAAGGTGGACCCTTGGGGAATTCCATACCCTACCACTTCCCTTTAAGGGACAGATGAGAAGTAGGTTCCCCCAAAAGAGTCTAAGAATGAGTCCCAAGGAGTAGGAGGAAAAGCAAGAGAGTGAGGTCACCAAATGAAAAGGAAGAGTGTCGAAAGAATGGTTTGTAGGGTGGATGTAACAGATAATCACGTACTTTAGGGTAGTGTCCAGTGGACTTACCGATAGGAAGTCATTGTAAATTTAATAAAGGCAATTTTATTGGAGATTTGAAGGCAGAAAGTGAATTATGGTGAATTAAGGGATACATAGGAGATGAGGAATTTGAGTCAGTGAAGATTGATAATTTCAAGAAACATTACTAAGAAGTGAGGAAGAGAGAGAAGAGGATAATTAGTGTCATAGAGATTTGAGATGTTAGCAAATTAAGTATGCTTATGTGCAGAGGCAATAAAGCCAGAATAAAGCCAGAATAAAGGGAGAGGGTGAAAATATTAGGAGCAGAGGAGAGTTAATCAAGATTCTTGAGGAGGTGGGAGAAAATGGAAGGCAGAGCATAGGTGGAGAGATTTACTTTGAACGATAGGAAAAGTATTTCTTCTACTGAGATGGGAAGGAAGGACCAGGGTAGTTGTGGATGTAGATCATTTTATAGCAGGGGAAGAAACTGAGGAAGTTCTTGCAGAAACCACTGGAAAGAAATTAGATAGTTGAAATCACATCTCAACTCAACGACATTATACTTGTGTATAATATTGGGCAGATAACCTAATTTTCTAAGCTTCGTTTATATGTGAGATGGGATTCAGAATAGGACTGTGGAGAAGAATAAAGTTAAGTAACAAATGGAAAACTTTTAACAGTGCCTAGGCCCTGACCAATAGTCAGAAATGTTAGCCCTTCCATCTTCCCTTCTCTTTATAATCTTGAGACATAAGGGCTCATCAAGAACTTATAAGGAGATTTGAGACTGATTTCTTGGCACAGTGACATTCAGAGGAGCAGTGGCAGTGAATTGGGTGCTTAAGTCTTGGGTTTAAAGAGCATTATATGGTCTTTTTCCTTTTCTTAAATATAAGCAATGGTTAAACCAGGTAATAGGGGACTTAACACAATAAGTTAGGAAGTTCATTGTTTTTGAAAACCATTGTATAAGCAAGACATTCAGTTAGAGTTGTCATTTAGCGTCCTTGAACTAGGCAAATGCCAGATAGCTAGGTTTGCCTAAGTATTTGTTTAAATATGTTTATATACTTTTCTACCGTTCCTGTCCTGTCTCCCACAGACAAAGCAACTCCTCCCCCTAATAAAACAAAAACAAAAAGAACACACCCACACCTGTAAAATTTTCCAAACCTTCCTTTCTGTGAGTGTGAATAAATCTCTAGTCTTAACTGCAGTTACCTTATTGATTTGACTGTTCTTTTATATAATATGGTCTCCTGCTTTCCTGTTTGTAACGTTTTCTTCATTGTAGATTTAAAACTCTTTTCTGCGTAGGGTGTCACTAATTTAGAGTCTCTCTGTTTAGTAATTAAATTAAAAAAAAAAAAAATTGAGTGTTTGCTTTGCTAGGCCATGAGTTGGGGACTTGGGATATTGGCACAATAAAAACTTACCTCTCAGACATTTCAGGAGAGGCAAGACTACACATGTGCTAAGTGGATAGTAAATTTTTAAGTATCAGTTTTGGAAAACATTTTAGAAGTCTTTATGCAAAGGTGCATTTAAACTGTACTTTTCTAAGGGGAAGATTTTCCAGAGTTTTTTTTTTTTTTTTTAATAACTTTTAGATTGGATAGGACTTTATGCCCACTTTTATGGGGAAAAAAAATTCCTTAATTCTAATGACTATTCTGACTTGCATTTGATTATTAGGCCAGTTTTAATTTTATGTTGTTAATTTTAGTCCCTTCCAGATATGCAGCATATTCAGGAAGAAAACTTATCTTCCCCACCACTGGGTCCTCCCAACTATCTACAAGTGTCCAAAGATTCTGCCAGTACTAGTAGCAAGAACTCTTCTTGTGATGCAGATGACTTTGTTTTGGTTCCAGACATCTCGTCAGACCACTCATGTGAGAATCTTTTCTACTTGTACACATTATATTTCTTAATTTACTAGACTAGCATTTTCTTAACCTTTATTTCACAGTCTTGTTTAGGGCACCTTTCCAAATGGGCATTCTATTTAGTTGTTTAGATTTCCAAAATTATATATTTTTCTAAGATCTGTGCAGTCATCTTCCATAAAACAGTAAGTTTGGATCTGAAGTAGATGGAAACTTTATGATCTCAACTTAATTGAATTATATTGGAACAGAAAGAAGTAGAGAAGCCAGCAGAATGAGCAAAATTAACTTTAAGACAAAAAATTAAAGGAAGAACTCATTTGGAAAAAAAAACATAAGAGTCAAAAGAGTATCCTTCAGAAAATATCCTTCAAAAAATAAGTTCAAGAGTGTGCTTCATAAATATATAGGAAGAATTTTTATAAAGGAATGAGAATGCAGGTTTTCTTTGGAATACTAAAAGGTACCAAGAAACCTACAAAAAAAGAGAAGTTAGACAAAACCATTAAAAAAGAAGGGACTGTGGCTTGGTTGTGAAGGAATAGGATCTGAAAAACTGAAAATTTGGTTACTTTAAAAATCTAATAATATCGAGTGTTGACTATGTGCAGGTATTGATGGTAGGAGAAGTTTGTATAGAGGTCTATTCAGTTGTTTGTCAAATACTTATTTTTACTTATTTTATACCTGCTTATGGTGGTACAGATGGTTAAGTGCTCTGCTACTAACCAAAAGGTTGGTGGTTCAAACCCACCCAGAGGCCCTTTGGAAGAAAGGCCTGGAGAAACACACAGCCTTGGAAACCTATGGAGCACACTTCTACTCTGACATAAGTGGGGTTGCCATGAGTTGGAGTTGACTTGATGGCAAGCGGTTTGTTTTTTTTATGCTAGGCACTGGCTAGTTGTTGTAAAAGCCATATTCCCCAGACCAAAAACCTGCAGGATTTATTTGGGGAGGGAAAACTTGGCCACCACAGCAACAGTATATGGCAGTTCATGATCAGTGGGAACTGGAAGTTACCTTTAAAAATCATCCAATACAGGGTTTTATTTCGTTAAAAAAAAAAGATAAAACTTCTAAACTTGTGAACTATTTCAAGCAGAAAATAGCACAGCAGATACTCAGGTCACCCATCATCCTGATTTTATAGGTGTCAATGTTTTGCTATATTTGCTTCATATTTCTGAAGCATTGAACACTGATGATGGAAGACCAGATGAGCTGTGGGATGACATCAAAGACATCATACATGAAGATAGCAAAAAGTCATTAAAGAGACAGGAAAGAGAGAAAAGACCAAAATAGATGTCAGAAGAGACTCTGAAATGTGCTGTTGAACATATAGTAGCTTAAGTAAATGGAAGAAATGATGAAGTAGAAGAGCTGAACAGAAGATTTCAAAGGGTGGCTTGAGAAGACAAAGTAAAGTGTTATAATGAAATGTGCAAAGACCTGGAGTTAGAAAACCAAAAGGGAAGAACACACTTGTTATTTCTCAGGCTGAAAGAACTGAAGAAGAAATTCAAGCTTTGAGTTGCAGTAGTGAAGGATTCTATGGGCAAAATATTGAACAACCCAGGAAGCATTAAAAGAAGATGGAAGGAATGCACAGAGTCACTGTACCAAAAAGAATTGGTCGATGTTCAACCATCCCAGGAGGTAGCATATGATCAAGAACCAATGGTACTGAAGGAAGAAGTCCAAGCACTGAAAGCATAGATGAAAAACAAGGCTCCAGGAATTCACAGAATACCAATTGAGATGTTTCAACAAATGCATGCAGCGCTGGAGGTGCTCGCTCATCTATGCCAAGAAATTTGGAAGACAGCTACCTGGCCAACCTGTTGGAAGAGATCCATATTTGTGCCCATTCAAAAGAAAAGTGACCTATCAGAATGCAGAAATTATAGAACAATACCATTAATATAACACACAAGTAAATTTTTGCTGAAGATAATTAAAAAACGGTTGCAGCAGCACATTGACAGGGAACTGCCAGAAAGTCAAGCCAGATTCAGAAGAGGACATGGAATGAGGTATATCGTTGCTGATGTCTGAAGGATTTTGGCTGAAAGCAGAAAATACCAGAAGGATGTTTACCTGTGTTGTTTTGACTCTTCAAAGGCATTTGACTGTGTGGATCCTAACAAATGATGGATAACATTGAGAAGAATGGGAATTCCAGAACACTTAATTGTGTTCAGACGGAACAAGGGGATAATGCATGGTTTAAAATCAGGAAAGGTGTGTGCCAGGGTTGTATCCTTTCACCATACTTACTCAGTCTGTATGCTGACCAAATAATCCAAGAAGTGGGACTGTATGAAGAAGAGCACAGCATCAGGACTGGAGGAAGACTCATTAACAACCTGCAATATGCAGATGACACAACCTTGTTTGTGGAACTCGAGGAGGACTTGACGCATTTACTGATGAAGATCAAAGACTACAGCCTTCAGTGTGGATTACACCTCAACATAAAGAAAACAAAAATCCTCACAACTGGGCCAATAAGCAACATCATGATAAAGGAGGAAAATACTGAAGTTGTCAAGGATTTCATTTTACTTGGATCCACAGTCAACATCCATGGAAGTAGCAGTCAAGAAATCAGACGATGTATTACATTGAGTAAATCTGTTGCAAAAGATCTCTTTAAAGTGTTAAAAGCAAAGATGTCACTTTGAGGACTAAGGTGGGTCTGACCCAAGCCATGGTATTTTCAGTCACCTCCTATGCATGGGAAAGCTGGGCAGTGAATAAAGCAGACTGAAGAAGAATTGATGCCTTTGAGTTATGGTGTTGGTGAAGAGTATTGCGTATACCGTGGACTGCCAGAAGAACAAACAAGTCTGTCTTGGAAGAAGTGCAGCCAGAATGCTCCTTGAAAGCAAGGATGGTGAGACTTCGTCTCATGTACTTTGGACTTGTTATCAGGAGGGACTAGTCCCCAGAGAAGGACATTACGCTTGGTAAAGTAGAGGATCGGCAGAAGAGAGGAAGACCCTCTACAAGGTGGATTGATGTGGTGACTGCAACAGTGGGCTCAAACATAGCAATGATTGTGAGGATGGTGCGGGACCGGGCAGTGTTTTGTTCCATTGTACATGAGGTTGTTATGAGTTGAAACAGACTGGATGGCACCTAACAACAACAACAATGGGTACAACTAAAGTCCCTTTCCGTTTCTGTTGTTGCCAGAAGCATATTTTTCCTGTAGATATTTTTATACTTCTACATATACCTGTATCCATATTTAACATAGAGTATTTTTATAATTTCACAGTTGTTAAGGATGTATTGTGTCCGCCAGAAATATGTGTTGTAAATCTTAACATCTATACTTGTAGATGTAATCCCATTTGGGAATAGGGTTTTCTTTGTTATGTTAATGAGGCTGTATCCGTGTAGGGTGTGTTTTATGCCCATCACATTCAAGATATAAAAGGATCAGATTAGGCACAGAGAAGCAAGCAGAGATGGGAGAAGATAAATGCCAGGCCACATGAAGAAGGCCAAGGAACTGAGGAACAGAAGCTAAAAAGAGACAAGGATCTTCCCCTAGAGCCGACAGAAAGAAAGCCTTCCCCCTAGAGCTGGCACCTTGAATTCGGTCTTCTAGCCTCCCAAAGTGTGAGAAAATTAAATTCTGTTTGTTAAAGTGTGGTGTGGTGGATTGCTTTTGTGTGACCTTTCTTGCCATGGTCTTGTAACTCCCACCCAAGTAATTGGGTGAGACTGTGCAGATAGGGTAATTGTGGCCCACCTAGGGGATTGGTCACTTTTGCCATACACTGGACTTGAAATGAGCCATCCCAGAGGCAGGAAAAAGAGGATCCCACCACCACCAAGGAAGGAGAGCCAAGAGCAGAGTGTGTTCTTTGTACCCAGGATCCCTATGCTGAGAAACTCCTGGAACTAGGAGACCGAGAGAGAGCTGTAACACTGAAGACAGCGAGAAGCAGTGACAGAGAAACGGAGGAGGAGAGACCAGCAGGAGACGGCGTGGTGAGCTTCCCAGCCTACGGAGTGAGAGAGCTGAGTGCCTTCGGACAGGAGGCTTCTTGACACAGTAGGGTGCCTCTAGTTACTTACGGGCAGAGCTAAAAAAGGAATGGATGTTGGACTTTGTCAAATGCCTAAGCAGGACAGAGGCTCAGAGCCAGGGAGAAGCCTGCCTGTGAGCATGGCTGAGAAGAGGCTGTCCTGATGGAAGAACTGTATCCTGAGCATTCCTGAACCTGAATTGTAAGGTGTTAGTTTTCTAATAAACCCCATAATCGTGAGTATTGTCTGTGAGTTCTGTGTGGCCATTCCAGTGAATTACCAAACCCAGCACAAAAGTAGAGAGTGCTGTCGGAGGGATGGTTGGCGTCAGAATTGGTAGATGGGAGACGAGGCATGTCTGACCTTCCCCTGACAGGAATCAGCCTTGGGCTGTTAATCTTGATTCTCCTACCCCCTTGTGAAGTTAAAGGAGGTCAGACACCACCACGCTGTTTTTACATAAAACCAGTTCTGTTGTACATACGGTTGCTATAACTCAACGACACCTAACAGTGATGACAACAACAGATAAGGAAGACAGCAGTTTAAAATAAGTGGTATACAGAATGTTTGCTTCTATAGTTTGCTTTGTTATTCGTACATATAATATCTAGATATGTATCTAGTTTATCTTAATATTTGAATTTTTGTTGCACCTAAACCAGTATATTCATTTTCCTTCTGATTGATACCTGGGCTATTTCTACCTCTTCACTGTTACAAAATGTATTGTAACAGATGTCCTTGTGTACATGTGCCAGAATTTCTTCCAAGTGGATACCCTAGAGATGTACAACTTCAACTCTATAAATTATTGGTACAAACAAGGTGTAGGCAACTAATAATCTCTGCCGTGCTGCCCTAGTGTTACAATGGTGTTCTTTCCTATTTCCTTCTAAAAATTTTATGATTATTTTTTTCATATTTAACTTTACTTGGAATTCATTTCTGTATAT